GGGATTGGCTGACTTCACTTAGCATTATCGTCTCCAATGCCATCCATTTACCTGCAAATGCCATGGTTTTGTTCTTTTTTAATGCTTAGTAAAATTCCATTGTGTATATATGCCACATTTTTTTTATCCATTCAACCACTGAAGGACATCTAGGTTGGCACCACAGTTTAACTACTGTGAATTGTGCTGCTATAAACATTGATGTGGCTGTGTTTCTGTAGTATACTATTTTTGAGTCCTTAGGATATAGTCAGAGGAGAGGAATAGCTGGGGCAAATGGTGGTTCCATTCCCAGTTTTCTAAGGAATGTCCATACTGCTTTCCAAATTGGCTGCACCAATTTTCAGTCCCACCATCAATGTATGAGTGTATCTTTTTCCCCACATCCTCGCTAACACTTATTTTTGTTTGTCTTCATAAGAGCTGCCATTCTGACTGGAGTGAGATGATATCTTAGAGTGGTTTCTTTTGGGAATATAACTAACAGTGGAATTGCTGGTTTATTAGATAATTCTATTTTGAATATTCTGAGGAACCACCATACAGTTTTAAATATAGGAACACCATTTTACATATCTACCACTGGTGAACAAGTGTTCAAGTTTCTTAACATCCTTGTCAGCACTAGTTACATTCTGTTGTTCTGACAGTGGTCGTCCTTAATGGTGTGAGACAGTATCTTATAATTTAATTTTCATTTATCTAAGGATTAATAATAATCAGCATATTTTCATGGGATTTGTAGCCATTTGTATGTTTTCTTTGAAGAAATGTCTATACAAATCTTTTTCCTTTTCTTCGTCTGGTTATTTAATTTTGATGTTGGTGTTGTTGGTTTGTAATAGTTCTTTATTCTGGATACTAAACCCTTATCAGAAAAATGATTTGCAAATATTTTCTACAATTCCATGTTATCTTTTTGTTCTTTTGACTGAGTCCCTTTATGAACAGAAGTTGTTAATTTTAATGTATTCTAGTTTGTCTGGTTTTTGTTTACTTATATTGATTTTAGTGTTATATCCAAGAAATCATTGTCAAATACAATGTCATGAAGCTTTTCTGTCTTGTTTTCTTTTAAGGACTTTATAGCATAGTGTTACAATCTGGTCTTAGTCCATTTTGAGCTGATTTTTATATATGGTACAAGGTAATAGTATAACTTCATTCTTTTACATGAAGGTATCCAGTTCTCCTAACATAATTTTTTAAAAGATTGTCTTTTCCCCATTGAATGGTCTTGGTATTCTTGATGACAATCATCTGACCATATAGTAAAGGATTATTTATGGGTTTTTTATTCTATTACATTGGTTTTAATATTCCTCTTTATATCAGAATCACATTGTTTTGATTACTATAGCTTGTAATAAAGTTTTGAAATAAAGAAATATGACCTCCAATATTCTTTGTCAAGATTGTTTTGATTATTTGACCTCTCTTAAAAAATCCATATGAACATTAAGATAGATTTTTATATTTCTATAGATAAAAAAACATAAGAGCATGTCATTGCTATTTTGATCTGCAATTGAATCTGCGGATCTCTTTAGTTAGTATTAACATCTTACTAACATTAACTCGCCCAATCTGTGAGTACAGAATATTTTCAAATTATTTGTTATCTTTATTTCAGTAATATTTTGCAGTTTTTAGTGTATAAAATTTTCACCTCATTGGTTAAGTATATTTCTAAATTTAGGGTAAGTATATATGTTTTTTAAACAATGTTGCCAGTATCTATGTATTTAGTATTTAGTCTATCTATGTTTCTTCTTGTTAAGCTTCCCATGAATATTTCCTGTCTTTTGGATCTATGCCAGTTTTATTAATAAACAAAATGCTTGTTTATGTTTATTTATTTATTTAGTTTCCCATGTTGAAATCATCCTCATGTTGTAAAATCAGCCATCTTAATATATATTCATGGAGAAATAAATCATTTAACACTGAATATTTGTGAATAATGAATTTCTGAGTTTTTTCTAAAAGTCAAATTTTTGTTCAAGTTATTCAAAAATAAATCTAAGAAGAAAGGCCTTATTTTAAAAAATCATATAATACACATGACATAAATCTTTCTGATTATTTTGATTAAAATTCATTTTGAGTAATGAAATTGGAATGCCCATTAATTGTAGAGATTTCTAAGGTATTTCTCTAAAAGTTATCAAGATAGGTTCAAGTTCTTTTGTGTAGATATGAAACAAGGACAGATAAAAAAATGGAAGAGGAATAAAAGATAATTCTATAAGTGGCAAAGTCAAGAAAAATAGAAGACAAAAGAGAGAAATAGAAGAATATCAATGAAATTATTAGAAAAAATAGCTGATAAAAGGATAAAAAATTCACCTAAAACTCAGAAGATGCAGATATACACAAACCTATGGAAAATAAGAAAGAGCAATAAATTGTGGAGAAAAAGAAGGAGGGAAATGAGGGAGAGAGAAAGTGAGAAGGGAAAAATATTCCAAAAGAAAAAATATATTTTATTTGCAATGGACATCATCAGGATATCACCAAACCATCACATTACAGATGCACATTGATTCGGAGAACAAAACTGACTCTGTGAGGAATCAAGATATTTTCAAAAAAGAAATAACAGTTAACAAATGTCAACCATGATGTGAAGAAGTTCTTCAGTCACACAGTTCAGATGAAAAACTGTGCAGAAGTGGTACTATGTACAATATGATAATATGTATTTTAGGGGGTAACTCAATAATGTTTTTTTCCTTTGGATGCTATCTGGTAAGAATAAGGTATTAAGTAAGATATGGCATATAATTTTAAAAACTTGGGACATTTAAGGTTCCAAGCAGTGATAAACTATTATGCTTGTTTTTGTAAATTGACATTATTACGAACATTTCAGAAGGAGAACTGATAGCAATGTAGGAAGAATTGATAAAAGAAATGACTAAAAACAGATCAAATAGCAGATTCTTGCCATTATATAGGTAAGAGATGATGAAAACTGGAAATAATGTTATGAAAGTTGGGAAATATGAGAGTGATATAAAGGTAAATAAAAATAGATGATGAATGGGGTATTAGAATAAAGAAACGAGACAAATATATGACTACAAGTTGTCTGGTTTGCCTAACTAGTTATGTGTTATGCTTTTTACCTAGAGAGTAGGACCTGAAAATTTCTCTTTCCAAAATGAATTTTTCTTTCATATTTAAGAGCTATGAATGGTTCAAAGACAGAATCCAAACTAACCAGTAAAGTGCAAGAGACTCATCATTGCTCCAAACTCATCTCTGTTCATGCCCTTCATTTTTAAAGAAGGAGTGTGTACCCTATTCACTGCCATAGTTATCTGTTCCATTAATTAAAGTGCTTGGTATATGTGAGCATACTTGGACACTCCATCAACTGCCAGTTTTTAGATATACTTTTATTGTCTTCATTTGCTATATATATTGTAAACATTGAACACTGTGCATATCTTAGAAATGGCAACTGAAGCTGATCAAAGCTTTTCTTTTTCATTTCTTTCCTTTTCTTCTCTTTTCTTTCTCTCCTCTCCCTCTCTCTAGTAATTAAATAACATTGGTTCTTAACTGGAATAATGATGTTGCTTCTTTCCAATTCCCTTTGGTTCTTTGTCAGAAGAAGCTACCTTACGTGATGTCACTTCTGAAGAGGGAGGGATTTGGAAAAAAATCTTGCTATGGTACTTCATTTTGATTCTTCTATTTCTTCTCCCTTCCAACTCTGTGAATGAAGCTATATAGCTGCAGGGTGGATGGAGAAAAAGGGACATTTTATGTTACATAGGTAAGAGATGATGAAAAGTTGAAATAATGTCACAGAGGTGATTATATTATCTTTGCTTCCCCAACCTTATATAAACTCCATTTTTGTTAAGGAAGCAACAATTTGCTTAAATGTCAAATAATCAGACATAGAGCTGTGGCCCTGGAATGTGAAAAGTATCATGGGTTATGATACTTTTGAGTGTCTGATTATGTAGAAATTATTTCATATATCAAATCCAAGTGAAGACATGGATCTGAACATTTCATAACTTTTCAGTGTTTTTTTTGTGTTGCCAGTATATCAAGTAGAGTATACATATTTTTTTCCTCACATCTGGGATTTTATTAAAATTCTAAAATAATTGCCTAAGTTATGGGGTAAAATTATCATGTAGTTTTATCATCTCACAATACATTACTCTTCAGCAATTAACAGAATTCATTAAGGCTTGTTTTTGTTTAGAAGCTAAATACTTTATAAACTTTAGTGTTATTTGGAACATATTATTAAGAAGGATATTGAGTAAATATTTACTTATGTATTCAGTTATCAGAATTAGACATTACACTTTCTTGTTTTGATGTAACTTTTGCAATTTTCCTGACATTTATATATGATGTACTTTTATATGGAAGTGCAATAACATAAATGATTATTAATCAAAATGCCATCATTCATAGTAAGAATCCTGCAATTTAAAGCAAAACCCTCTTCACACTATAAAATGTGGCAACATGTCTTTTATTTCCAAAAAGGAAATTCCTCTTATGTAAAATGATCATTAAAACTACACAAAGTGATATGATTTAATTTAACCAAAAACTTGGAATGTTTCTCAGATAAAACTGTACTAGTCTGATAGTATAGATTCTAGACTGTAGTTTGAAAGAAAGCAATAGTGAAAATAAATTTCATGCCAGTAGACACTTTAAAAACTAGATTTAGCAGCAGTCACATTAGCTTAGATAATGGGAGAATTTTTCTTCATTGAAAATGCTCTCTGTCGCTTAAGAAGAACTTACTGAGGCAGCCTGCCATCTAGCTTTTTCACAGAAAAACAGGCTTGCAGACTGCAGATGAGAGTCTGGAGCAGAGACAATTTTAACTTAGCCATTCCTAATTTATCTCAAGCGTTTTCAATTCATCTTCACTGCTCTATGCACACAGGAACACCAGATTGCCATCCCTGGGGAACAGAATGCAACCCGGGATCTAGAGAGCTGTCACATTCCAAGAAATATTTAAATTGTGCTGATTTTCTTCTGGAGAACTGAGCCCAGGGAATGAAACTCTCCATCAAGTCATAGCTTTGCGGGCAATAGATCAGAGGATATTGCCAGTTTTCTAATGGATTATTGTTATCGGGCAGGTTTTCTCTGAAGGTACGTAGTTATTTTCTCAATTCATTACCCTCTCCTATTTATCAGGTAATAGTCTAATGAGCTAGGGATCCAAACCTGTAAAAAGAGAAAGATGTTAAGTAGTTGGTATTCAATGAAGAATGACATTTTATTGCTGCATGCTTGTAGGTGAAATAATCTGATTCCTTTACTAAAGATGAGTAGGATATAGTTTGAATTGCCTTGTCAGCAAAAACAGGCAAAACCAAAACAAAACCGTGCTGCAGGCTGCATTATCATAAGTTCATATTAATTCTCTGAGGGATTTTCCTTTTGCAGCTGCAACATATAATGAAGGGAAATACATACTTTGGAAACTCAGGCATATGTATATTTGAATAACCATAATATTCTATCCATGTTTTCACAAATACAAACTTTGTCTCAAATGCTATTATTTTGGTTGTCATTGATGTTGATCACATATAAATACGTGAATTAGTATTGAATTTAGAGAAACTCCAGCAGAAGTCTGCTTGATAATACTATATTGGTTTACTTCGTTTGATAGATCTCATTTTTGAGCTTGAAAGAATTTTACTAAAATGAATCAGTACAGTGTTGGTTCATTAAATTATAAAAATGTTTTTCTAACTTTGTTCTGTTAAGTAAGAATGTTAATATAATCTATGGAAAGGTACAAACCGTTTAGCAAAGTAAAATGTTAAAAGCTGGAAAACTTCTGAACAGTAACTGAACCAATGAAAAGGCAGGAAATCTTCTCCTAAAATAAAATTTAGCTCATTATATCAATGATCTATTGCAACAGGAATGGTGATCTCTGTAATTTTTTTCCCTAAAAGTTGAAGGTGTATGTGTATATATGGGGACATGGTGTTCTGTCTCAGTGAGTGAATACAGGTGTGGGATAGAAAGCAAGCATAAAATAATCAGTGAATTTTTATAAAATTCTCTTTTTATAAAAACATGAAGAAATACTTAAAAATATGGTCTTAGGGCTTTTGATGCATTTTTAATGTTTTATTCCTGTGTGAATAAGCTTAGTGTAACGTACCTCATTGATATTGTTGTGTTAAAAATGGCTATTAGAATAGGTTTGACCTGGAGACTGGTACACCTGCTGCTGTGTTTGGATTGGAACACAGAGTTTGTGAACCCATCAGTGGGTTAATCACAGGCTTCAGAGAAGAAATGGTGGCTGAGCTTTGCAAAAGCACTTGTTAAATGTGTTCTGATTTCTTTGGAGAATTGAAGAAAGCATTAGAAGAATAAAGGAAACAGAGAAGAACCCCAAATAGTAACTTTCAGTGCCTCTTTCCTTATCCTCAAAAGGATTGTCAAAGGCAAAGAATAGAAAAGAGGAAAAAGAATAGAGTCCTCATAGGGTACTTCTAAGTCCTTCTTTTTTTCATGAACCATATAGGATTGGGGAAGGGGGACTTAAGTTTTTCCTAAGGATTCCTCCGTTTGGCAACCTTCTCCTCTTCTTTGTGGATTCTTTTCTGTCCACTCACTTAAAAAAAAATAAAAGAATAAGTTAGATTGCCCCTGACCTGGTTTGTTCCACAATAACTTGCTGCTCTAATATAATTCTATAGAAGTCCACTCTCTGAAACTGCATATACTCTTAGGTGGATCAGCCTTCCAATTCAATGGCTTATGAATGCCGGAATATGAAATGACTTAGCATCTTCTTTTTTTTTTTTTATTTCCACTTGTTTTTTTTGAAAAATCTTAGGATATATTCAAAAGGAGGTACAAGTAGTGGTTAAAAAAAAAGAATTTCAGAGAATACATTTTATGTTCTTTTGTAATAAAATAGTACCAATGAAGAATGGAATGTAGTCATTTTATGTGTGAGCATGTGGAAGATATGATAACAGTTTAATAATATATCCTTAACTTTATCTTTTTTAATGTTAGAAGAATAGAACAAATATTAAAATCAGGAGAAGCAGTTTTATTTGTCAAATTGCTCCAAAATTTTTTTTTTATCACTCTGACCACCTATTAACCTTTTCTACAATAATCAGGTTAGTGTTTCCTCCCTCCCCACAGGTTTCCTTCTCTTACCCTGCCTTTGAAATCTGCTCAGCTTCCAGACCTAGTACTAAAACTTGTTTTACTTCATCTTATGGTGAATTCATTGCAAAATATATTACCATAATTTCATTTTATTATTGCTACTAAATAACATTTATTGAGTGCCCATGATGTTTGTTGCTTCCAAGCAACATGTAGGAAGAAAACATGTAATCATATTCTCTCTTAAATCAGCCAGTTTATTAATACTTCAGGACCTCTAATTGGTACACTAAAAGGAGGAAATTAAGCCCAGCTCTTTAGTGGCTTCTTATGTGCATATAGCACATGAAATGTCTTATATTCAGTCAATGACTTACATTCATCTTTACTAAGAACATTAAATATTGAATTGTTTTCGGATTCTCTCTTGGTCTTTTAATATGTCAAAGTGTTATAGTAGACAGAACATTGGACTGAAGATAAGGCAAATTAGGTTTATATAGGTTAAGCAAAATTGTCAAAGTTAATCAATCTATGTGTATATTTGTCCCATCATCTCTATAATGGCAATAATGTACCTACATTTTATACTCTTAATAGAGATCACATACATTAACTATCAGAGTTAGTGCACATTACATGTTTGATATATGGTACCTACTTTTTGAGTGTATTTTATCATAGTGTTTTATATAAGAATGTTCCAGTTGAAACAACTTTGACTCTTACCTTTCTTCAATGATGCCTGTGTGTTTGTTGGTTTATGTGTACAACGGTGTATTATATTAGATCTATTTATTTAGTAGTTTTAGAAATGAAAATAATCCATAGAGCATATATTTATTATTTGGTCCTAAAGTTTCTGTAGGTACACTAAAGCATTACCCATACATATTTAGATTTTGAAATCTATTATTTTGAGAAATTAGTCCGTATATTCTTTATGACTATCAAATAGCCAAATTATTAATCATAACTTATAAAGGAAAGCAGATAAAAAGAACTATATCTGATTTTGTTCTTATCCATTCTCCTAAAGGATATGGAAATAGAAGACAAGACAATAAATCCTCTTGCTCATTATATTGTACCCTTTGCCCCTTTCATTTGTGTTTTATTTTGCTACAGTGGATTGTCTAGTGAGATGGCCTCATATACCAGAGTAGTTCAAGCATTCAAATGTACCCCTCAAGGAACAATACAAATATATGAAAACTTTTATTAAAGTAAAAGACAGCTTCTGCTTTGAAAACATGCTAAACATTTTTTAACGAGAGTGAAAATGTCAAAGGTGAATGTTAAATTCAGCCAGATGTTGACCTTAACTGTGAATTTAAATCTTTATAAAAATAGTATCCATGCTAGAAACTGCTTTCACTGGTTCTCAAGGCTATTGAAAAATTTTTTGCTTGAATTTTCTGGATATATTTCATATCATGGTTAGAATATTCACGAAAAATATTTTAATATTTTTATATGCCAATGTTAATTCAGCATAACACTTATCTGCTTTATACTTCTTTGTATTGGTGTTTCCTACTTGGAACCACCAAGTAATTATTTGGAAAGTCCATTGCTGGAAAGTACATATCATTTTCTAATTAGATCAAAACTTGGACATAAAAGCAAGAGTCTGCTGACAAACCACCCTAGTTTGGTTTTTAACTTCATAGTGTCACTAAAATTGCTTCTATCATTACATTGCATTAAGTGGAGATGAGGTCATTAGGGTAAGCTGTAATTTGAGAAGAGGAAATTTGGATAGACAGACACACAGGCAAGACCCCGGGAACAACAGGGAGACCTATAGGCCAAGGAGAGTGGTCTGAGAAAATAATCATACTTGACCACTTGATTTTGGATTTCTAGCCTCCAGAATTATGAGAAAATAAATTTCTGTTATTTAAGCCACCCAGTCTGTGGTACTTTGTTGCAACAGTTCTTGCAAAGTAACAGAGTAAACACATGAAGATCTTTGGCTGGGCACAGTGGCACACACCTGTAATCCTAACAGCTCAAGAGGCTAAAGCAGGAGGATCATAAGTTCAAAGCTAGTCTCAGCAAAAGTGAGGCACTAAGCAACTCAGTGAGATCCTGTCTCTAAATAAAATACAAAATAGGGCTGGAGATGTGGCTCAGAGTTGGAGTGATCCTGAGTTCAATCCCTGATACTCAAAAAAAAAAAAAAAGAAAGAAAGAAAGAAAGAAAACAACAAAAAACAAAATCTTCAGCCCCCATAGTTCTTCCTTCTTTTCTTTTGCTTTTGGAAATGTAAAAAGTATTCTTGTTCACACTTTAAAATTTTTAAAAACACTCTTAGGCCAGATTTGGCCCAGTTTGCTAATTCTCAAAAGGTATTCCAAAGCCTTCCAAAGTTTAACTTAAAGTCCTAAATTTCATTTAATTGAACAAGATATCAACTCTGCAGATGGCAGCACTGATTTTGAGTCTCAAATATAGAACTTGATCTGTTACTTCTAGAAAAACCCCTCCAAATGCCTATATTTGATGTGAATATCTATGAGGATATTTTAATTTCATTGCTAATGGACACTTAGGTTTCAATGTTAAAATGGCATAAGAGAAAATTTGTAACACAATTGCAGTTTGCTCTTGGGCTGAGTACATTCTTTGCAATAAAGAACATTCAAAGCACTTACCATGTGTTTTCTAATAACTACCAACAACCTTACAAAGTAGTTGATATTGTAATCATTTTCCTGATATGGAAATAAAGGCACAGGACATAAAGCAACTGACTACTGTTTACTTAGCATAAGTAGCTATGTTGTTAGCCAGGACTGGATTCAGACAGAATCTTTGGCTACAATCTGGCATTTAACCACTATTGCACAAGAGCACTCAAGCCACAGGAGGATTTTATGTTTACTAGGAGAACAGCTGTGAAAATGCGGGAAAAAAACAAATATTGAGTGGCAATTTAGGGGAAAGAGAGGGAAAAATTACATGGTGTTCTTTAATCCCACATTCTATG